TGCTTGCTGCTCTTCGCCTGGCTCACCCTTGGCAGGTGTGGGATCTGAGCCAGTGTGAGCTGAGTGCAGCCTGCTGGGCCGAGTGGGCAGTACAAGTCCAGCAGGTGTCAGCAAAACCCAAGCAGAGGCGCTGTGGCCACAGAGCTGGTTGGTGAAGGGACACCCTTGGACTCCCATGACAACAGCAGGGTGGTGGCGTGACCAAGACTCACCACAGCCCCATCCACCGAAGCTCAAGTGATCCGCCCTCTCCATTTAAAAATTGTTTTTTTGGTAGAGACAGGGTCTCACTCACTATGTTGCCCAGGCTTGTTTTTGAAACATAGTCTTGCTCTGTTGTCTAGGCTGGAGTACAGTGGTGCAATCAAAGCTCACTGCTACCTTGACCTCCTGGGCTCAAGGGATCCTACGTTTAAGTTGTTTTGTTTGTTTCTTTGTTTTGAGGCAGGGTCTCGCTCTGTCGCCCAGGCTGGAGTGCAGTGGCTGGATCTCAACTCACTGCAACCTCCGTCTCCTGGGTTCAGGCCATTCTCTGCCTCAACCTCCCGAGTAGCTAGGATTACAGGTATCTATCACCACGCCCAGCTAATTTTTTATTTTCAGTAGAGACGGGGCTTCACCATGTTGGTCAGGCTAGTCTCAAACTCAAGCGATCTGTCTGCCTCGGCCTCCCAAAGTGCTGGTACCACAGGGGTGCAGTGCGCGTGGCCAAGGTACTAGTGTTAAGCCTCGTTTTCTATGTTAGCAAGTCAGATATCCAGCACCATCCACGTTTCCCATGTAGCCGATGTGGTGCACTGTAGGGGGAGATCCCATAAGCGCCCAGGCAGAAGCAAAAGGCCTCAGCCTGTTTCCATACAATGAAGAAAAAAGTAATCAGAAATATAACCGCAGTAATTATTCATATGCAATCTTAGTTATTCATAGGTGATCTTAATTCCTTTACTAATGCCTCTCAGGTCAGAAGTGTGAACCTGGGGTGACACTGTGAAATGAATGACACTAAGGCAAGATGCTCTAAGCCCTCTGTCACGCCTGCATAAGGGCTGCTGGAAGGCGCCTCAGCTGTGCGGCAGCGCCAGCACCAGCGCTGGGAAAGCACCCGATGTTTAGCCAGACAGGGAAGGAGATGTCCAAAATGGCTGAGACATCACCTTCCTGGGGAAGTTTGGAGAAAACTCTGCTTCTCAAGCTCTCACGGTAAGGCCTGATGGCTGTCAGGGACACCCACAAACATCCGGGGTCTTATCTGTCTCTATGTGATGCTATGCTTCAGTGGTCACGTTCCATGTCTACTCATGTTCTGCTTCTGCACCTGGTTCATTTTTTCTTAGAAAAGATAATCAGGAATACTAACATTAACTCTTAGTATTTCAGTTCTTTCTTGATAAGTATGGAAAAAGTGCTGATGCATCATGCTCCTTACCTCACTTCGGGTGCCAGAAATTCCTGAGCCCCCACCTGAATGACACGTGATGTACTTGACTGTATCACAGCCACGCCCTATCCACCCCGCCCCCAGATTTGCAACTCAAAAAAGTGAGAGTGTCTCGGCATTCGGGGCCACTGCTGGTCTCTGAGATCTGGGTGGCAGTGGACCCTGGGCCCAAACTCTCTTTTCTCTGTGTCTTGTGTCCTTTATTTCTACTATTTCTCGTCTCTGCACCAGCCGGCAGCGGCTCACAGAACCCTGAGGGACTGGACACTACAGTGCATCACTGCCAACTCCCACGTGATGTGAGCCCTAAGCTCTGCCCCTCCCTCCATCTGTTCTGGGACCTGTTTTACTCTAACCCACTTGAGTATCAGAGGGCCCACCCCCTCAGGCGTCTGCTTTTCCAGATGT